AACAATTTTGATGATAAAAGCTATGAGAGCGATTGAAACAGCAAGGAAAAGAATGAGAACCGTGTTAAAACGAATAAAGATGATACAATTGTGTTATGGTGATCTTATGTGGTTCGATAAAAATCTGATATTAGCAATTAATGCTCTTTTTTTAAATCATTGATGAATTTAAGTTAATACTGGAGTTAGGTGGAAACAACGCAATAATTGTGAATGATGACGCTGATTTGAATATGCTCATACCTGCGACAGTGTTCGCTTGTGTTGGAACGGCTGGACAGAGATGTACGACAACTCGACGGATCATTATCCATCATAAAGTATGCCTTATCTTTGTTGTCGTCAACAGATACTACCAAGTAAAGAATCCAGTGACTGGTCTTATTGAGCAGAGATGTTTAATTGATCACTGATATTGTTAATTGATCAGCATTGCTTCAACGAAACATATTTTTTTGAATTGCAGGTGTATGATGAAGTAGTGAAGAGACTAGTTCGAGCATATTCACAATTGGAATCGCGTATCGGTGATCCACTTGATTCGAACACTTTAATTGGACCTCTACACACCCAGCAGGCCGTTATGCAATTTAAGGCCACTGTTGCTGAGGCCATTGTCTCTGTACGATTCTTTCTTTCATTTTATATCTCTTCATCTTGTTCATTCGCTCTTGATTCTTTTAGTGAGCACTCACGAATTTACGTCTGTCTATTCATTACAGTAAGTCGTAACAATCGGTAATCGCAGCAAAAAGATTTATACCTCTGATTTGAGTCTTTTTAACGGGTGTCCATCTAAGATGTATACTGTATTGATTTCTCACAAAATGTTGATTGTGTAAATGTGAGTTATATTAAGAGATGGAGGTTTTAAGAGGGTGTCGTGCATGGAGCGTTAATAAGAAGAGTTTGTGATGAATTTCAGGGTGGTAAAGTAGAGTATGGAGGTAAGGTTATGGAGGGTAAAAGTGGTAATTTCGTTATGCCGACAATTATTACTGGTCTGAAAAATGATGCAGAAGTGGTGAGACGTGAAACATTCGCACCTATACTCTATGTTCTGAAGGTGATTTACTAAAATTTTGGTCGTATTCATTAT